TTTGAATAATTAGTTTTGAAATAGCTTGTTTTAAATTTTGTATTTTTGGGTAATTTAATTTATGTAGTGTCAAATAAGTTGGTTTGAAATTGTTAGTGTTAAAACTGACAGAACAAAAAAAATAAAAATGTGTAATTTTTTGAAAATATATGACCAAATACTAACTCTCGTTTTATATTTTTAAATTTTATTGATAAAATACAAAAAAGAAAGTTTTGGAAAGAATTTGGCGAAATGTCTTTAGGTAAAATGTCCCTTTCCCGACACATCACACTTCTTTTTAAAAAATGTTCATTTACTGGTAATTTAGATTTGATAACATCGTAACTTGCTTCTGATAAAGATTCAACGAGCTGATTAATTGTTGTGATTTTCATCTCATTCATCAATGTTGTTATTGTTGATTCTCCAACTTCGTTAAAATTGTTTCGAGCAAATCTTTCTTTTTCTTTTTTTTTTCTTGAACTTTTTGTTGTTGAATTGAATTAAGATAATAAGTGATGAAATGTTTTTTGTAATGTTTTTTAAACGAAGCAATGATTCCCTGATCCAATGGTTGAGTTTTTGCTGTTGTGTTTGCAGGCAAGTTGATCAAATTGATATTGGTTAAAACAACAGTCACTTTATGGACGGGTGCATTATCAATTATCAAAACAATAAATCGACCAATTCTTCTTAAATCATCATCCCACAACTGCAAAAACTCATTCCAGATTAATACTGACATCCAGCTGCTACTATCTGTTTTATAAACAATGTTCAGTTGTTGAAATAATCTTTTTGATCCACCTCTTGGCATGTGAGCAGTATGTATTACAATTGGTGGTCTTTTATCACTTCCATCCATGTTACAACAGAACAATAGAGTTATTCGCTCTTTTTGAATGTTTGTGGTTTTGAGAAATTTTCTTGTTGTCAGTGAACGCATTGGCAACTGTCTGTAAAATAAAACAGTTTCGTCTGCGTTATAAACGTCAGAAAATGAGTATCTTGAAAATATTTCTTTTATGTTATCAAGTTCTGTCGAGTAAAGAGTTAAATCTATAATGTCCTCGTGTCCAGAAGATATGTGGTATTTCAAGTTGTTCTTTTCTTTAAATCTTTTAACAAATGAAGGTATGTCTTTAATTGTAAATTCTTTGTTTTCGATGTATTTGGCAACTTCAATTTGGAGTACATAATCATCCAAATAGTTTCCCGCAAGAACTGAAGTGTTTACATATCGTTCCAAATGCAAAACAACTTCGGCATTGGGTGACGTTCTCTGTCGTTTCGTTTCTTTTATTTCACGTTTTTGATAATCCTGCAATTGATCCAAACTGAAGTTGTACGTGGGGTATAAAGTTGAGAATTCATCTCTCACCTTACACCAAAAATTCTTCTTTTCGAGGCCACTATATTTCGAATAAAGTTTCTTTATTGTGGCATGTGCTTCTGGTGTGATATTTTGGTAAACCTTTCTGGGTTTTTTATCGTTAATAGACATTACAATATACAAGATAATATGTATCAGTTTAATATAAACATTTTTTACATAAATCTTTTCAGTAAAACGGCACTATTTTATATATGGTAATTTATGTCAATTTTTTGTTATATGATTGATAATAATTGGTAAAAGAAAATAATTTTATCATTTTTATTTCACTTATTATATAATCAATATTTAAAAACCAAAAAATATTTTATAAACAACTAATATTTTTTAATGGAATGTTCCACAAAATTCTATAAAAACCGACAAATAGGCTCGTTTTTGTGTCGTAAAACCGACAAATAAACGCCTTTGACTGTAAACATGGAAAATAATAACAGGAAAAGTCGTTAAGTTTTCTTCACAAATAAAGTGATTTTTTTTTCAACAAAAATACGATTTTAGGTTAAAATTTAGTATTAATTTGTAGTAAATTAAATTATTTTACGATTAATTACGTTTCCTTGTATTACCCATAGTTGTAAAAAGTTTAAAGAGTTTTTTGCATTATTTCTTTCTAATATACACTCAAAATGAATAAGATATAAATATTTACATTTTTTAAAAATTTTTGGTACTGGAAAGGTTAATTCAACAAAAATAACATATTCAAGAGCAAATTATTTAATTGTCGTAAACCCAAATGATTGGTTAGTTGTGCGACAAACAATCAATTTCGACATTTATAATTACGACAAATAGACGCCTTTGACTGTAATCTGAAACACCATTTTATAATTATTTAAAACATAAAAAATTATAATTAAATAATACTAAAGTTTATTCATATTAAATTGTATTTAAAAACAATAATTTGTTATTTTTAAGTTTTATATGACACTTAAATTGATTAAAAATTGAATCTGGGTGTTAATAAAACATGTTCAATGTATTATATTTCAAATGAATGTATTTTAATAAAATATTTGGTTTATACAGTACTATTTACTTGAGAACCAAATATTAAAAATATAGGTTTGGGAAAACTGGCAACAATATTCGATAAGTTTAATAACAATTCTAAGTTTTAATCAATATACAAAACGTAAATAAAATTAGATTTGTGCTTTTTTAAATTTATTTTAACAACTTTTTCCAAAATGTGTTTGGTTTCATTGTTTATGTTAACTTTAGTTTTAAGCTTTTCAAAAACGTTTTTTATTTTACTTTTTTTTTATAAAAGAATCAATATCACATTCGGGAAATGTATGCATTTTAAAGCACCAAAAAACAGAGACTTTTTTAAGAAACTCAAGTTGATCCATTCCATTTATCAATTCAGTTGTCAGTTGTTTTATTGTAACGTTTTTCAATTCAATAACACGCTTTTTTGTTAATTGCAAATTTGTTTTCAACGATAAATAATAAATGTCAACACGTTTTTTATATTCCTTTAAATAGTCAACAAATTTGTGTATATTTAGTGTTTTTGTTAATACTAACCCATTTAAAGAACTGTGAAAACTTTCTGCGTTATTGTTTGTGCGTTCTTCAATGCCTAATAAACACCAATTGTCAACTTTGAAAACGCCATCTTCGTAATATTTTTCAAAGTGTCTAAAAATAATACAAAAATTTGCGTCATCTTTATAAATCTCTTTTGATTCATCAATTGTTGTGTATATCATACTCACTGACATAAATGGTTAAGAAATATTTTTTTATTGCACTTTTGAACTCATCTCCATTCTAATAACAGTGTTTGAATCCACAAAAAGAAACTTTCCGAAATATATTCTGGCAATAATGAAAGTGACAACACTTTACTTTGACTAGTTTAAGAAACAAATTCTTTTTAAAACACAATTCAAAATCCCACATAACAACCATTTCTCTGTTTGAAAAACATTACCAAAAACAATTTTAAAAGATTCTAAAAAGTTATTATACATTTTTTAATATTTTTGAGACACCCAAAAACAATTGGGTAACATTCACCACTTACAAAACCTTTTATGGTATATAATTTATAAATAGGGCCATTTTGTTATTGTTTTTTAATTGGTTCTAACTTTAATTAAAAACACTAAAATGATCCAAATGTGTCATCAAAAAACAAAACTAGAAAGTAATTTTAACAACTCAACATAATCTTGTTTACCAAATATTGTTATATCATAATCTTGATACAATACTATTACTTTTTTATATTTCGGAAATTTCTATGTCTTGTGTTTGGTTACTGAGTATGGCTGTTTTTTCCTTTTTGATTTTTTTTACTGAACGAAATTTATATAGTTGTTCCTTGAATGTATTGCTTTACCACTGTTTGTTTTGTTGTCTTGTTTTGGAATCTTTTTTTGACCGCTATTTTTAAACGGATTCGAAACAAATTATTCAAACAATCAACATAATCATATGTGTGAATTACATCATTTAAAATGTATTTGTAATTGATAGTTTTCAATTTTAACTTGTTCAATTCCAATTTTACAGCCTTTGTGAAAACATTTAAATTTTATTCGTTCTTTTTGGATTAGAATTTGCAGCAATTTATGTAAGGCATCTCAATACGTTTTTGACTTATGTAATTTATTCCATTTGTTAATTTTTCAGTTTATCGTTATTATTTAAAAAAAAGTAATGAAAATACATTGAATTGTTATTGAATTTATACTGAATATTATGGCCAGTTTTCACTGATGCTAATTATATGTCTCCATTTCCCATGAATATTATTATTCATTTTAATTTTCGTTGTGTATATCGAGGGTTTATATTAAATTTGATTTTGTATTTGCCAAGTGAAGATTTTGCGTTTGGCGAAAAAGAACCTTTAGATAAGATGAAATTGTATTTTAAAATTATTATACTTAATGTGGATGAATTCTCAATGTTTAACATGTGGAATATCCCAATTTCTGTTAATCATTTTGGGGAGATGTGTTATGTAAAAGAAAACGAGATTAAATAATTTTTGAAATATGTTGAATTGACCGACAAAAAGTTGAGTGCGTTGACCGTTGAAAAGAGTTCTACTAATGATTTGGATACTTCTGGAATTGACACCAAAATACTTGTAATCAACAATGAAGAAAATAAAAAATTCAATTTAAAAATATCAAATAAATTATAATATTTAGAAACGGATTTTCCATATGAAATTTCAGTGTATTGTGATGATAGCGGGACCGTCGAAATCACTAAACATGGTGAAATAAAATTTCTTCAACAAATTCCATTTATCGACTTTTTTGGTTTAATAAAGTTTTACAATTCAATGATGTGTGAACAGTGTTATACTCGATGGGTTAGAAAGCATCCAAAAGATGCAGTGGATATTCTTAAATTCCATAAAATGAATCCAGAATAACAGAATGAATAACGAATTTTTGTGAATTTAGTGAAAGAGTAAGAAATCCTTGATTTTGACACGAAGTCGAATATTTACAAAAAAAAGAATGTTATAACAGAGACTCTTCAACAAATCACAAATGAGATGAAATTGAAAAATTTGTCGTATTGTGAAATCAATACAACTAGTTTTGATTGTTTGAATTTGCCGACCTCCCTCACAGAACTGAAAATGAAAGATCTTTCAGAATCGACTTTTGAGTTAGATGATATCAACATTATTACATTGAAGTTGTATGAATGTCGTAATATCAAAATCTACTTGAACACAACACTCAAGAATTTGTATGTAGAAAATGGATATGGTGGAGACTTTGAGTGTCGAAAAGGAGTGATTTATCTCACTTCATTTGACTCGTTTAATTCTGGTAGATTTAATTCTAAAAACATAGTTGTCGACTATTTAATTCCATATAAAGAGACTGTCGAACAAGGTCCAGCATGGGCAGATAGTGTTGTGTATTCATTCAATTATATGAAGGGAATGTACTTTGTGAAACAAGGGTTTAGTTCCTCAGAAGTTACTTGGTCCAATCCGGACCCGACTGGCAAGCCAACATATCCACCAAATAAATATATATTGAACGAGCGTGTTACAAATGTAATGTTAGTTATGTGTGGTTCAAAGCTGTCAAAGAAATCGGCGACTTTTGTTTTGCAGAAAGTGTGTTTCGAGAGAAACGCATCGAAATTCCAGAACAAATGACAACTTTTGGAATTGGCGCGTTTTATAAAGCTGCAAATTTGGAATCAGTGAAACTGCCAAAGGGTTTTAAGAAATTGCCATAAAAGGCGTTTTATGGAGCAAAGGATTTAACTGAAATTACTTCGCCCGAGAGTCAAATAGAAATAGACGACTACACTCTTTTTGGGTGTAAAAAGCTGGAAATATACCCCAAATTTATACCAACAAAAACAGCAACCTTTGCGATGGTTATTTAGCCAAATTCTGTCACTTAAAAAGCATCGAAGTAAGAAGTTGTGTAACAGAAATTAAACGTTCAAATTATGCCAATTGCAATGAACGCACGGAAATTAAATTACCGAACACCGTGACGTATATTGCAGATTACGCGTTTGTTGGGTGCACTAACTTAAAGAATATTGTTTTTAATGAAAAAGTTGTCTTTGGGAAACACTTGGTATTTACTAATATGTCAAATTTGAGTCAAATTGTGATACCAAATACACTCACAAAAATCAGAAATTTTATGTTTAAAAACTGTCGATCACTGACAGGTGTTAAACTACCAAATTCAATTAAAAGTCTTGGAGATATGGCCTTTCAAAATTGTTGTGCAATAAAGGAACTTGTTATGCCAACAACTGTGACTGAAATTGGTGCTTTGTGTTTTGACAGATGCACTTCACTCAGTTCATTGTGTTGTTCACCTTTTCTCTTTTCAACTAAATACGCTTTAATTGAAAAACAAGTGTAATAAAATTGAATATAATTGAAACAAGTTAAAACTATTATTTATAATATAATATTATATTATATTATATTATATTATATTATATTATATTATATTATATTATATTATATTATATTATATTATATTATATTATATTATATTATATTATATTATATTATATTATATTATATTATATTATATTATTAGTATAATTAATTTTTTGTTAACATTACAAATAAAATTAAATAATTTTAATTTTACTAAATCTAAAAACTATTTTAAAAAATTGATTGAAAACCTCAGGGTTTAAAGTGAATAATTTCATATATCTATAAAACTAATTTATCATTTTAATGGTTATTAATAAAAAAATTATAATACAAAATACAATACAAATCACCACCTCAAACAGAAAAAGCTTCCATAAAGCATAGTCGGCCTTTATGGTAAACAATGTTATACATTTTATTATATTATTATTAAATATATCTATAAAATCAAGTAAAAACAATTAGAAAGTTAAAAACATTTTATTTATTTTTGTAACAATATTTTTTAAATATTTTGTAAAAAAACATTTTTATCTAAATTAAATATTTTTGTTTTAAAAATTCTGTATAATTGAGGTTTATTAATTATAAAACAAACCAAATTATTTTATTAGTATAATTATTATAATTAAACAGATTTTAATATTATTAAGTTGTCATAACAACTCAAATTACAAACCACATGACAGTAAGGCTTGAATCAGTTTTTTTAAAGAATGTGTTGTTTTATCTTTCAACCCTAGACGATGTCCAGTCTTTAGAATGTGTATGTAAAAAATGCCAAATAGCAATTATTTCTGTATATATCAACCCATATCGCCTTTCCGAGTTATACCCTTTCAATCGAATCATAAAGTCTTTCCAAAGATTGAAACGTTTTATTTAACATATTGTAGTGATAACATAAAGAAGACGGACGTGAAAGATATTCCACTGATGGAAATCGGGAAATTGACACGCGACAACCCACACAAATATTTAGAACAGACTTGGTTTGCCGAGAAAGTGTCCAAGATGATAGTCACTCAAACGACTTACAAATACGTTTTTAAGAAGATTTCTATCTACAAGAACCTTCAAATAGTGAGTCTTGATTGCATACTCACTTCCGAACATATCGACGCTCTATGTGAACTTCCGTTACTTAAGAAAGTGTATGTACAAGGACAATATTGTTCATTAGAAAAATGGATAGAAAAGGCACTCCAATTTAATAAGATCAAATTCGTTTTTCTTTCTTTAGATTATTGTTTTGGAGACATCGAGAAAATTTTGTGTGGTAAAAATATCCCACAAAATATGACATTTTTTGACAATGATTTAGACTCAAAATACTTTATGAACACATCTCCAGTGTGTATAGATGTGATTGTAAACAAAGAGAAAAGAACATATTCATTGCAATCGCAGTGGCTCACATCAAATAAAACAATGATTGAGGGCGTCGACAAAATCTCCAAATTGGTTGTTGAAAAACAAGTGCAAGAAGCAAAATTTGTGCAGAATTCACGATCACTCATAAAAATTCCATACGATTTTTCGATGTTTGAGACTTTGACAAAACTCACAGTTCAATACTCATATGGCGGACTTGTATTGCCAAAATTCTGTGTCGACTTAAGCCTGTTAAATTGTCATTGTGATGTCAAACTGGGTGAAGCAAAATTGATGCATTTGATGTTAAAACAAAGTGTACCGACTATGACTGTTGATGTCGATCAAATTAAAACGTTTTTATCAGAAAATTCATCGACTGAAAAATGCACATTTAGGTTCGATGGAAAAAAGACTGAAGGCTTCAAAATAAGTCCAATACTCGACGCTTTCGAGGTCAATTGCAATCGTGGTGCACAGGCTAAATGCATTTCTTGTGTGCGTTTACTGTTTGAAGATAGTTATATAACAAAAGGAGGAAAGTTGGAAAAAGAAAATGGGGTTATACAGTTTAAAGATAGAAAAAGTAAGTCGTATTTTAAATGATAATGATTATTGTTTGTTTTACAAGATTTCCTTTTTATAACGAATATATTTCTGTTTTATAATAATAGAGTTGTACTTTTTTATATTACAATTTAATGTAACTTAAAATTATTACATATTAATACCTATTTATTTTTAATTTAAATTATTATTATCTCAAAACAAAGAGCTGTTACATAAACATTGTCTCGTTTTAAAGACAATAATCATATTGTGTTTACAATAATAGATGATTGGTATATAACAGCGTTGAATTGTTTTATTTCAAAATGTTTATTAATTATTATACCAAAATAAAAAATAACTTAAAATAAAGTTTTTTGTTTTTATTTTTTTAATAAATAAAGATTAAATACATTGTTGTAACCAACAAATAAAAGTTTGATAATTATGATGATTTGTTTGTGAATAAGTTGAGTCATATTAAAATATCATAAACCATTGTTTCCAATAAATAATATAATGAATTAAAAAAAATATTAAAATGTGTAATCAACACATTTGAATTATTTTAATGATTTATAACAAATATTTGTAACATAATTAAAATAATATATGATCTAAACATATTTTTGATTATTTATATATTAATAGAACATACAATGTTGATGTGATTAATTCATGCGAATGGTTATATTTGCGAATTCTTATAATTTGCTTGAATTTTACAAAACATTATAATCAAATTAATAATTTTATTTGATTTATTAAAAATAATCAAAACATATTAAAATTTAACACATTTGAATATTAAAATATTCATAAAATAATAATGTTGTTAATGAATTATTAAATGGATTCATGTAGATTGTTATTTTTTCTTAGGATGGTAAATATCTTTAACTTTTTTTAGTTAATTTTTTTAATATAAAAAGGTATATTTTAAAACATATGAATTTATTTGTTAC